AATTCGATGTGTTTGTCTGGTCCTGGAAATATGTGCTTAATTAAAATTGTTTGGACAGGTACCCATATATTTTACTTTGTTGATAAGAACTCTGTCCGAAATTATTTATATTTTATATGTACGCCTAAGTGTATATATAGAACCTGGCCCAAAAAGTGATTCCCGTTTTTACTTACAGCTGCTTTATTTCTCCTGAGGCTCGTTCGCAAAAAAATAGAGATCTGAGACCCTTTCCTATTTCTGTACTCTCTTCCTAAATAAAAATTATTTATAAATACAAGAACACTAAAAATACACATATCATCTGTTGATCTCAGAACGTGATCTAATTTCAAAGGTTATGGCTCTGCGAATAATTGAAAGTGTAAACCATTCATACATTTATTATTTACATTTTATTTAAAGACGTTAACCTATTTTTCGCGAAATAAAGCTATCCGCAAGTTAAATAGGACGGGGCATGTTTTTACTTAAATTTTAGGAAGTATCTCAATAAATAGAAAATAAAATCATCCAAATTTAGCTCTTCCTGCGAAAATTAGACGCAATTAAAGAAGCCGACAATATTTTAGAAATTCCGCTAATCATATAATCCTTATTTATTTATGAATTACAGAATAGAAAAGTGACAAATATTAAAAAAACTGACTAAAGAATAAATAAACAGGACACTTCAAAAAATAGGTATTTTTAGTGAGACGAATAGAAGCGGTGAATACTCGGTACGGTTTTTTGAACAGCCATATAGTGTTTTAGTTCGAGTGAATCAAACTTTAACCACAAATAGAACTCGATAAATAAGTCTCACCGTTTTCACTGTACAAGGCCGTATTGGTCGGTTGTTAAAATCATATTATTTACGAAATCTTTGGTAGGTATGCTTATAACAAATTGATTCAAATTTGGTGTAGTGTTGACATTTACACATGTGCATAATTTACTGTAAAATTTACAAATTTTTGTAGGTCAGTGGCGTAAAAATGGGTAGTAAAATTGGATTTTTTTACCCCAATTTCTACGTCAATGACCTATTAATCATTTGGGATTCATTTTTAGATTTCGTGGACAATTCTACATTAAAAAGTATACTTGTTGAATATCGGTATAATGTATCGTTTTCCCGAAAACCACTAACCTACAAAAATTTGTATATTTTACAGTAAATTATGCACATGTGTAAATATACCACACCCAATTTGAATCAATTTGTTAAGCAAACCAAAGATTTCGTAAATAATATGATTTTAGCAACCGACTAAAAAGTTTGATTCACTCGAACTGAAACACCCTATATATCGATTATTTTGCGACATATTAGCGATATATTTCGACCATACGTTGTAGTAATCTCTTAAATATCAAATCTTTGCAAAGGCCATATACATTCCATATGATGATGGGATTTTTATCTGATTGCAGGATCGATTACTTCTATTCTATACAGTGCGATGGTTTTATTCGGCTTGGATATAAATTGCATGTTTATCCAATTTTGCAATGAAAAACCATAGAAAACTGTACGCACTACCTATTTTGTTTCATGTAGAAGGTGCTAATAGAACTACACTAAACCTAATCACCCATTCACCTAATAACCGAAAGTCAAATAACTAATAATCTATAAAACCATGAACACCAAAACGCTAAAACCCATAAACGTATTTTGATGTTGCCGAGATGTTGAAAACCATGGATTTTAGGGTCTGTGAACTTCGAGGTTCATGGATTTTGGGGCGTATGAGATTTAGGGTTTATGGATTTTGGAGTTAATCCATTTTGGGATTGATGGACTGGGGTTAATGAGGTTTTACACGGTTATGGGTCTTAGGGTTTACGTGGTTATGGGTTTTATTATTTGTAATTAGGGATTTTAGGAATATGGGTTTATAAGTTATCAGGTTTATGATTTTTAGTTATTAGAATAATGGGGGATTGGGTTTAATGGATTTATGTATTATTGGGTTTGTGGGTTATTTGAGACTAATGGCTTTATCCTGATTCAAAAGGAAGTCTTGAGAAATTTCATATTTACAACATAAAATATATGACTTTTGAACGTGATTAAAGAAACATTTATTGCTATACCATCTAAACAACGGCGTGGCTTGAATTGAATTAAATTTACAATTCATCGACAATATGTTTTCTGATAAGTATTTATTACTTTTTCTGCAATTAGTCGAACGATAAAGCTAGGAAATGTAACCGATTTTCAAAGACAGGACAATCGAATGTGTCTTTGCAACGATTCGATAAATAAAAAACGACATATCGAAGCAATATATTCGCGGTTCAATAAACCGCCTCGTGGATTAATCGATTTAGGTATATACTTTTTTTTCAGTAATTTAGTTTCTACATGACTAACTAAGAATGACAGTGTATTAAAACTTTTAATTATCTGAGAAAAATATTCTCTGACTCAAGGTAAGAACTACACCTTTAATTTCAAATATATTTCGTCGTATTCTCCGTAAATACCAGCTACATGCTTCCAGGTTTAGTTATAGAGTTCTCTGTTCTTAATTAAGCTGTGGAATTTCAACACCGCAGGAACCTTAATTGCCGTCAAAATATTTCGCATATTTTATTTCACGAACTATTTAAAATTCTTACACAATAGCTAAATGAAGCCAAGAGTTTATTCAGTGTCCGGAACAAATTACAGACGCTAAAATATACTATTTTGCCAAGTTTTTTTCAGCGGTAAATTAAGATATATAATAATAAATCATTTGGATGGATAGATTTCTGCTCAACTTCCTCAGTTGAATATAACAAGATACTCCTGTTTCAGTAACTAGTGAAACTAGAAAAACATTTCGAGCGATAATTTGCATTAACTAGATCCTATATTCAAAAGGTAGAAATAAATGTGTTCTTAAAATTCAATATACGGGGCGGCCAAATGAAAACGAAACAGAGCCATTTTCAGGGACTGCGTCAAGATTGTAGAAAAATGCTCAGACCCGTCGATTTTAGATTAAAGGAGGACATTCGTTGCTGGTATTTTTGACTCCACCACTTTCACCCCCCAAGCAAGGGTAAGCATCACCCCTAAATATTTAAATGGCACTGGGGGTTGAGTACCTAATATTTCTTTTGAAAGCTCTTACAGTTCTCTTTACAACAGACTTTAAAGTTTATAATTCCTCCAATACTATTTGATTTTTGATTTTGATTTTAAAGTTGAAACTTATATACAAACAATTAGTAACGGTAAAAATGTCAGCCATTCGAATTAAGTACGCCAATGGTATAAATTTAGTATTTTTGCGTTACATTGGTTTTTGGCGATTTGTTATCACTTTCGTAAAAAAAACACAATTGTAAAAAACAGAAATGAATGCTATACACACACAATGAACGTAAAATTAGTGGATTCCAAATTATTTTCTAGTATTATTTGGTTGGTAGTTTATTTAATTGTGTTTTTGAAAATTAAACACTATGGTTTATTCCATTGCGGAAAGGGTAGATATCATTTCGCTTTACTTTATGAACAATAAATGTGCGAATAGAACAGCTCAGTTATTTAACGAACTACATCAAGATCGACACGTCAGGAGGAAGTATGTTCTAAAGTTAGTAAAAAAATTTCAAGAGACAGGGAAAGTAGCCAATAAAAAACGAGAAATTGAAAAACCTATAGTTAATGAAGCTAATGAAGTTGCAGTTTTGGGACAAGTTCATCTTGATCCTACATTAAGTATGATACAACTGGCATCTGTGTCTGGGATCAGTGAAAGTGGCGGAGTCAAAAATACCAGCAAAGAATGTCCTCCTTTAATCTAAAATCGACGGGTCTGAGCGTTTTTCTACAATCTTGACGCAGTTCCTGAAAATGGCTCTGTTTCGTTTTCATTTGGCCACCCTATATATATATTTTCTGTACGTGACTTTTCGGCATTTCGGATTGAATTAATAAATAAGTAAGTCCTACGTATAGATATAAATACAATGTCTGTTTCCTGAGTACTTTGTTGATTTTTGTTGAATGGTTATCCAAACAGGTACGAGCTGTTTACCGTACAAATAGTTACTAAAAAAGCTGTCCAAACGGGCCTTGAACGCATCTTAAACTTCACTGAGTAAACACAAGTCTAGTTTTACGTTCAAAACATGTTTACCAAAAATCATTGAATTAAAATTGAAGTAATGAGGAGCTTAAATTTAATTTGTGTTGACTTTCATAATGGGTTTCATCATAGTAACATCTTAATGATAAAGTTTCAGCACTTTTATTATAAATTAGTTACTCACAGACAGAAAACAGATTATTAATGTTTTTATCAAAAATATGTCTCGAGGAATTTATAATGAACTATATGGGACCATATTGTCATTAAAAATAATGAACAATGTAAACAGAGGATGCACTGATTTTTTACTGGCTTGTGCATCTACCCAATTTATTAATAACCAAAAATTTTCTTTAAATTTGGCATACTTCCATTAATTGCTGGCTTCAGTCCGTTCAGATTGTAAATTCTTCCTCCATGCACCATAGTACTGGTGATTTTCCTTCGTGAAAATTCTCAGTGCAAAATTTATTTGAAAACATATTCTATTTATTAAAAAAACAGCACTATAATTTAAACTATCGCAAATGCAGTATTAAATATGTTTTTATACAGTAAATTTGAATTTTACTCCAAATTGCCAAAGAAAATGAATTGTTTAAAATTGATACTGTTAAAATTAAAAGTAAATTATTCAATAAGATATCTGAGTAGGTATCATTTACCAACAAAGCATTTAGTACTATTCAAACCTCTTACTTATTACCTCTTTTTAAAGGCAAATGATTAAAATGGTGGAATTTTTAGTTTAAACAAAAGATAACAGTAATTATTATCAAAAGTAACGAAGTTTCTGCTTTTTATATTCTAATTTAAGTTCCCTACATCAACTGAACAATTTTGTCAATTCAAATGGGTTTCAAGTTTATTCAGATAAAATAATGTAATTGTTATTGAACTGCAAACAAAACAACTCACCTTTTTCCTTGTCAGAGTCTTTCCGGTTTGTATCAAATATGCCTGTCGTTAAAGCTTTCCTTTTGAGCAAATACGGTCTCCTTTTTGGCTTTACTACACTGCCCACATTGTCTGAAATAAATTCATTTCTTAATAAAAAAAAACAAAAAAGAAAATTAGAACTACACAGTAAAGTATGAAATGTAGTAATGGTAAAAAAATGTATGGTAGAATGTGTAAGTGTGAAATTGTTAAAGGATTGTTGGCATTTAGATACATTTTTTTATTTTAGATATTATATTTGTACTTTTTTATAATTTTACATCCATTTATAGTTTATTAACGTATGTTAACAAGCAATAAATAAATAAATAAATTGCCATTAAAGTCAAAGTTGTATTAGAAAAGTATTGTCACTTTGTTACTAATTTGTAACTATTGACATAGTAGGTAAAAGGGAAAGTGTCTCGTTAATATTTTGTAATTTATTTTGCTACTTTATTAAAATTTATGAAAATATATTTGCAAAAAATGTAGATACAAATGTTCTGCTAATGTGATACGAAGAAATTAAAAACCCAGTGGCGCAAATATTTTAATAAGTTCGTAAAAAAATGACTTGATAATAAAGGGTGATTTAGTTAGAGGTCACATTTTAAAATATAAATAAAACCCGTTGTTTTTTGAAAAATTGCAGATATTTTTATTTTGTTATAATATTAAGACATTTACATTAAACATGAAAAATTATATCGGCTAAATGACCGCCACGAGCAGCTTAGCGGACTTCCGCCCTTTTGATAAAATTGTCCATGGTTCTTCGGCATAAGTCCTGTGGATGCTCACGAATAACGCGGCGAATCTCGTCCTTTAGCTCTGGAATTGTTCTGGGATTATTGGCATAAACTCTTTGTTTCACATAACCCCAAAGAAAAAAATGGAGTGATAGCACATGACCTTGGTGACCAATTTTGATCGCCGAAACGAGAAATAACGCGGTTGGGAAATTTTGTGTGCAACAATTGCAACGTTTCTCGTGCTGTGTGGCATGTGGCACCGTCTTGTTGGAACCACATGTCTTCCGCATCAATGTTCCGCGATTCATGCCAAAAAAAATTCCTTAACATATCCCGATAACGCTCACCATTAACTGTTACCGCATCACCTCGATCATTTTAAAAAAAGTACGGCCCTATCACTCCGCCGACCCAAAATGCGCACCAAACTGTAAGTTTTCGTGGATGCATTTGGTGTTCCTTAATGGCTTCTGGATTTTCAGAACCCCATAAATTCGACAATTCTGTTTGTTTACGTATCCGTGGAATTGAAAATGTGCTTCATCGCTGATTGGTTGAAAAATCGTTATCAACTTGGTAATGCTGCAATACCCAATCAACAAAGATCCGATGCTGTATATGATCGGTTGCCTTTAATTCCTGAGTTAATTGAATCTTGTAGGCATACATGTGCAGATCTTTTTTTAAAAATACGCTGTGTGGTGCTGTAGGAAAGGTCCAATTGCTGAGAATGACGGCGAATGGAAGTTGATGGATTGCCACGTACATTATTTCTCACTGCTGCGACATTTTCGATTGATCGACCACTACGAGGACGTATTGGTCTTTAAACATCCAACACTGATCCGATTCGGTCAAATTTTTGGATTAATTTCTTAATCGCAGCTCAAGATGGACGGTTATGGTTACCGAAGTAACCTCGCAATGCACGAATCGTGTTAGTTAAATTTTCTCCATTTCGAAAATAGGTTTTAACAATTAAAATACGTTCTTCTGTGGAATACCGCTCCATAATCATAAATATCAATATTTACTAATGACACATGTCAAAAATCATCTCTTTATTGTTGCCAGGTAACCCGTGTTGCCATATTTAAATTGTAACCTCGAACTGAATCACCCTTTAGTTGCTACAATGCGGAGGGAGGGAACGACCTTAAGAACACGTTTTCTATTTTCATGTGGTTTCAAAAAGACTTGAAAAACAATAAGCAACAGTGTTGCCAAACAAGTAGCCACATGTCTGCATTTCTTAATTCTAATTAGACTACAGCAGGAAAAAATTGTATTGAGGATTACTTGACCCATAAACTATAGACTGATTAATGCATAACCGATCAGAATTTTATCAGATTACAGGCCGACATAAATAGTAAGCTTGCGTTTCTGACATAAGAAGAGCTACACGAGATTGGAAAAGAATGCATATGGCTACAAGAAATAAAACGTAGCTGTGGTGACTTGGGACTGGAGCTGTCTCAGACGTAAACTTATTTGTGACACCACTGGATGTCCTTTTTTGATGAAATATTTGGAATACTGAAGTGTAATTTTTGTTTATTTATTTGGTAATAGTCTAATAACTTGACCTACTCGTATATACCTACTACGTTGACGAATATTCCTACACTGTAGTCCTTTATCCATGGTTTACAATTTTAATTTGAATATTAACATATAATCAGAGTTATTATCTAATGTAATCGAGTTAAAGAAAGTAGGTAATACGAACTTAACTATGCCCACCTAGTGACGATAGACATCGGACGAATCGACAAAAGCAAACATTTTATCGAGGTAAAAAAATTAAAAATAGAAAGATACTAATTTTAAGACTCTTGCACATTTTCCTTTGTCTATACAGGGCGTGGCGTGTATAATCTACAAAAATTAAACTACAGCTTCCTGATGATATTTGTAATAAAAAAGTCTTATACGAAAAAGTTCTATCTTCGCGTTTTTTTTTTGTAAATTAAAGTTCACTTATTCAACGAAAATGAAGGCCGACCCTGTGTTATTTAATACAAACTTTGGAAATGTTTTTATGCGACCCGCGATGCAACCTTATAATTTAAGTCGGTATAATCTATTACTAGTAATACTAAGAGAAAGTTAGGTTCCATTGTCAAAAAATTTGTGCAGGCAACTGATTTTGTATTTGTATTGAATTCATTATTCATTCAATTATCAAATATTAAACATCGTCCATAGACCCATAAATGTTGAAAAGTTAAATATTCCAGACAAAAGTTTTTATTTTGTAATTTCACGATAGTGACAGTGTAATTTTTAAAAAGAAATAAAAAAATAAGAATAGTGTGCCGATTACATTAAAAACGAGATTCTTATTTCTTACTTTACTTAATTTTTAAACTTGTGCACAAACTAGTTTTACAATGAACCGAGAAAACAATGCATTTACTATTTCCGAACGTGTCGATATGGTGTTAGTGTATGGTGCAGCCGGAGAAAAGGCGCTCGCGGCGACTACGTTGTACCGGGAACGATGGCCACAACGTCACCCTGCCATGTGCAAATACAATCTTACAGTGCATTCAGCAGCTGCAAGATACGGGAAGTGTTATTCCTCGAGGAGAAGGACGTGGTCAGCAAGTGAACCTTAATGTTGAAGATGCAGTGTTGAAAAATCGTGACGAGTACCCACAATTAGTACTCGACGATTCGCACAGCAAGTAGGAACCTCGCCTCGTACCGTACATCGCATCTTAAGGCGCCAGCTGTTGGGCCCCTATCATCTGCAACCAGTTCAACAGATTTTACCCCCGGATTGTGATCAACTAATACTTTTTTGCATCAGATGGTTTTAACGGCAATGTGCCAATCAAGTAAACTGGGTGCGTCGGCGCCATGCCTGTATCCGCGATAATGGGGATCAATTTAAACATTTCCTCTATAAATGGTAAGTTTTATTTCATTTTGTTCCATATTTTAATGGAGTTTGTTTAGTGCACGGCAACTACAGATGCTTACGGATGCAGTTTTGTTTGCGAACTCTTGCAGTAACAACAATGCATTTAAGATAGTAATTACTATTAATCATTATAATAAGAAAATATCAGTTTTTTTTAAATATCTATTTTTCTTAGTTTGTACTTTTGCATTGAAAAATTCCCAAAAAATTGAGAAATATCTTTCTATCTTTCAACAACGATTTGTTTACGCGGCCGGTCTACAGCATGTAACTCCAGTGAAAATATTTTGATCCATAATTGAACTTTAATTTACGATAAAAAAACGCAAAAATATGACTTTTTCGTATAAGACTTTTCTATTATAAATATTGTAAGCTGTAGTTATATTTTTATAGATTATACACACCACATCCTGTATACTATGCTGACGAATATTCTTACACTGTAGCCCTTTATCTATATTTTACAATTTTAATTTGAAAATTGGCATAACATCAGAGTTATCATCTCTTGTAATCGAGTAACATGAACTTAGATGGGCCCATCTAGTGACAACAGACATCAAACGAATACACAAAAGGAAACATTTTACCGACGTAACAAAGTTGAAAATTGAAAGACTAATTTTATCACTATTATCCTTTTCTGCAGAGTTTCCTTTGTATAAACAAAAATAGTATGTATAACTACCTTGTCTTGAATTTGTCTCGAATTTACGCATAATGCGAATTATTTTTAGGTGATAAAAGGAATCACCATCTCATTAAAAAAATAAAGTCTTAACCAACTGTACTCGTAACAGAGAACGCACTTTTATTACATCTCGTTGCAAAAATTAATTTCAAGAGAGTTATTTCTTAGATATACCAATGTAGTGTAACGCGAACCATCCTATTTATTTTTTTATAAATCAGCAAGCAAAATACATATTTAACTGAATGCCTTTCAAAATTACAAAATAATTACCTTCAAAAATATTTCTATGAACAAAAAATTGTTTTTTAAATATTAAAGCATAAGGCGAAAAATATTGCATCTATGCCTGAATGGAAAAAATAAGTTATTACTCCCATATTTAAAACCGGTGACCTAAAGCTGTGTACAAAGTACAGACCTATCTCAGTAATAAATAATTTTGCGAAGATATTCGAAAAATGTGTAAAGCAAATATTAGTAGACTTTTTAGAAACAGAAAAAAAATTAATAAATGTCAATTTGGTGTTAGAAACAATAAAAGTACTGAAGATGCCGTATTTGAACTGACATATAATATTCAAAACAATAAAAAAAATCTTGCGGTATTCCTAGATCTAACAAAAGAGTTTGATACCGTTTCTCATAAAATTTGATTAGGGAGACTTGAGGAAATTGGAGTAAGAGGTAATGCGTTAAAACTCTTTGG